TGTGTGTGTGTGCTGTGCATGTGGTGTGTGTGTGTGTGTGTGTGTTTGTGTGTTTATGTGTGTGTTTGTGTGCGTGTGTGCATGTGCGCGTGTCTGTGTACCTACACAGGTCTCTCAGAACATACAATAAAACGACAAAAACATCAATTGCATTTCACAACCTCGCTTGCGAATCACATAAATTACTATTTATGACGTCACATGATCGTATACGCTCCGGGGCGGCTGTGGCGGCCAGCAACACCACCAGCAGCAGCACCACGCACCAGCAGCAGCAGCAACAGTAGCAGCAGCAGCCGCAGCGGCAGCACAGCAGCAGCAGCATACAGCAGTAGCAGCAGCAGCAGTAGCAGCAGCAGCAGCAGCAGCAGCAGTAGCAGCAGCAGCAACAGTAGCAGCAGCAGCACAGCAGCAGCAGTAGTAGCAGCAGTAGCAGCAACAGCACAACAGCAGCAGCAGTAGCAGCAGCAGCAGTAGCAGCAGCAGCAGCAGTAGCAGCAGCAGCAGCAGCAGCAGCAGCACCAACACCAACAGCAGCACCAGCAGCAGCAGCAGCACCACCAACATCAACAGCAGCAGTAGCTCACACGCTGCCCGGCGTATATTGTAACACATTCACGAATCGCCGTAAAACCTTTCACCATAAATACGATTTTTGGAATCTAATATAATAGATTGCCGCTCAGCGCAAGGAAAGAAAGAAATCGAACCGCGGACGATGACGACGACGATGAATACAACGATGACGATAACGGCAAAAAATACTCACTTTTGGCCCTTGCGCTCCATCGTATCCTGGCAACCCTGGATCGCCCTGGCAATAAACGACGCGAAAATGTTAGCTAGGAATGCGGGCGGGTTTTGTTTAATTAAGGAAGTGCAATATTAATAACTTATTAGTTCTAATTATGACTGAATAAACAAATAAATAAAATTTTACCAGAAATTATCGACTTTTTATTGGCCAATCTTGGATTGATGAATTATTTGCGTCATGAATTATAATGCTGCATCACACCACGGTCACAGCTGCCCGTGGGAACGTATGTCACTCCAAAATGTCACTTTTTAACTCAATTGTGGTATGTTTTGAAGTGCACTGACAAAATACTGCAGGGTTTACACTGGAGAACTTTCAACACAACGTCTGCTACAGAAATATGCTGACAAAAAGTAGTCCCACGTGTCTCGGAACGAAAATCAATTTCTAGCCACATTTTCTGATTCGGGGGGTGGCCCCACTCTTCTCTTCATATCCACACTCATAACAAACCTTAGCTGCTACACACACTGTCAAGCTCTCCCACCCCCACGTAGCCACAAAATAACATAGCAATTAAAATGAAATGGAAATAATTTTAATCGAAAAATGGAAAGGCTAAAATTTAGTAAGAAATTGAATTAAAAATCAAATATACTTACCGTCTCTCCCTTGGGACCAGGCAAACCGGCCTTGCCCTGCTCAGAGCAAAAGAAAAAGAAAACAGGATATTCTGAACGTCTGTCAGATATTGCACATACGACACGATGGTGGTGATCAGGGTTGCACACGTAAGTAGAGAGAGGCGAATAGAGAGGGAGAGAAGGAGAGAGAGGGAGGAAAAGAGAGAGAGCGAGAGAAAGAGAGAGAAAGAGAGAGAGAGAGAGAGAGAGAGAGAGAGAGAGAGAGAGAGAGAGAGAGAGAGAGAGAGAGAGAGAGATTAAGAGAGAGAGAGAGAGAGCGAGAAAGGGAGAGCGATGTCGACAGAGAGAGAAATGTTGACAGAGAGATAACAGAAGGGGGAGATAGGTAGGTTCTATGTGCTTATATTATGAATGCTATGATCTTAGGTATCTACAAGGTGACCATCTAGTCTGACGCTCACCGCGATGTTTAACAGCCAACGCCTAACATTTCGCTCGATCTCCTCCTTGCCATTGAGAAGGTTCCAGACTATAAGGTAGATGGCGCCATCTGTCAGGAAGCACTGATGTGTGACGTAGAAGTCCTTCTGGCCACCTAGGTCCCACGTGCTGACGACAATCGTCGGGGACTTCACGAAACACACGTGATAATAAGTGATATCGGAAAGTCCAGCTGTGTTATTTAGGTCATAGAAAAAGGAGTATAAAAATGGCCACAGCGCGCTACGGAAAGTAAATGATGCATGTAAACACTCGTGCGTTTTTAGTTTATTAGTTAGTTTTAGTTTATTTAGTTTTTTTAGTTGCACAAACATTGCAAAATATCCCAATTGATTACAATCATACATTCTGTAAACAGAAACGCACCTGTAAATTGAAGTACGATGTTAGTGAAGAGAATTATAGATCAAAAACCTAGACTAGTACTATCGTAACTATGTTATATATAGGCAACTTATCACCCCCTTATCTGATCTCAATATGTCGGCGGCGACTTTCCGATATGGCTTATTGCAGACGCAATCAAAGTATAGCATGAAGAAACCAGAAACCTTTCACAGCAAGCGGCAAATTACAAAACAACAAACCATATTTAATATCAGACGTGCGTGCGTGCTTGCGCGCTCGTGTGTATGTGCGTGTGAGCGTGTGTGTGTGTGTGTGTGTGTGTGTGTGTGTGTGTGTGTGTGTGTGTGTGTGTGTGTGTGTGTGTGTGTGTGTGTGTGTGTGTGTGTGTGTGTGTGTGTGTGTGTGTGTGTGTGT